AAATGATGGTCATTCAGACTTCCTTTCCTTCGTGAACTGATTGGCGCTCCGGACATCTCTGCAAGCAGTTGCGAATGGCGTTTGAGACCTATTTTCCCCCAAAGTGCAGTCGACATTGATCCTGAAGATCCCAGTCGAGAACTCTTCTCAGCCCTTCTTGAGGATAAGATATAGGTCGAATACACTTCGTTTTCATATTTGAAGGATCATATTCAACCCTAACACTCTGAGAGTCTCAATATCTGCGAACGGACTCTACCTTATGTGTCCGAACCTCGTGAATACCGTTGTATTTTCTTTCTTTACGGCTTAATAACGTTTCAGCACAGCAGCACAGCTACTATCAAGCATCTACCCCCTGTTCAGGCTGAAAATCATCGCTAAAGATGCCTCACTTGCATAGCCAATTGTCCCTTAGAAAACAGCCAATCATATTGCCTAAGTCTCACAGACACTATGTGATTAATCCTAGCTGTTCTTACTAAATGTCACACATACATGAGATTGCAGCTTGATGCATACTGCTTTCAATTCAGGTAGTCGTATCGTTTGCTACAGTTGCATGGGTCGTAAGGGACGCAGATATCGCACCACGTGGCTTCTACTGTTCTTCGGTCACTGGAAAAACTGCTCACCGGATTACACTACTGTCTTATCTACTTTGCGCCATCAACATGATTACGCTGATCGCGATCATTTTCCTAAACATTTTTAACAAATTCGCCATGACATGGTAATGTTTTGTCATCCACCAGAGTATCTTTATCGCGCCACAATGATAATAGTGCTGGAAGTAGCATCGAGCACGGGGATAATAACGTGAGAGAAAGAGTGAGCAAGTGAAAAGGGGCGACTTGAAGGGATTAATGGGTATTGTCACCGTGTTCATAACTCTTGACATACACTGCAGCTTTTGTACTAGTGATATTTGGAAGGTGTGACAACAATTAATAAAGCAGGTGCTCAGGGTGGCACACAGTATTCGTCCCACCAGTGTTACGACTGCATTTCCGTGCCCATCTTCGGAGTTTTTTTTTGGCTCTGAGCGCCATTTATAATGAAAACAGCTATCGGAAATATCGCGAAAGCTCCTTGAACGATTGTCCCACTTTTCACGTAGTTCTTCGGCTGCTTGCTGAAGTGCAATTTTGCATCATTCACGCGATGTGAACAAATGTGGATGGACCAGGGCACAGTCCAGGAAGGTGGGGTGCTCGCGTTTACATTTGTTGACAAATAGCGATTTTGACGATGGTTGAAGTGATGGTAATATATGTACTGTAAGGGGTAGCAGGAACTGGCTGAGAGCATGTGATGATTGTGAAAGAGACAGCGATGCAGATGAATCAGATGGAACCAGAACTTAAACTTCCTCCTTCACGTACACTTTTCCAGGTTCACAAAATCGTTCAGCCTACAGTCTTATCAACTATGCGAGAACGCTAGTGCTATTCGAGTGATGCTACCACTAAACGTTTTTCAAATTATGTCCTACTTGTTATTTTCGATAGGCGCCGCAGCAATTGTTATAATGCGTAGCCAGCTATCCGTGATTACATTTCAAACGCTCATCACGTCAGTATACGTAAGTTAGCTTTCTGTACATAACTGGGGTGCTTCATTTTTATTTTTGCCATAGCTGTCGAATGACTACAGAATTTTCAAGAAGTAGTAACACGGCGCCCTATAATTCAACGCACTAAGCTTGATAGTAGACAATCTTGAAAGGCCATCGTTGTGGTAATGGAAGTTGCTTGCACCTAGAACAGTCGTATATTTCAAAAGGAGTGAGAAATGGCAAGTCAAGCCGAGTGAAAAAAATCGTGGAAATGTAATGGTACAGTGAAGATCAAGCGGTAGTTTACTGAGAACCTGAAATCACCCATTTCCTACTCATATTTTTTACTTGTCTGTTGCACTTGAACGCCTCGCTCAGCCTATGTGAGACATGCATTTCAAAAGTTCTGCTCGCACTCCATAGACAATAGTTTTAGGTTATACCCTTCTATACCTTGATATCTCCCATTCTGATATGGTTCGTTATCCGATGGTCTAAACAGATGAAAGCAATGAAGCTGCAAAATCTCAAACAGAAAATGGAAGAGGAGCGAGAAATCCACTTCCTCGAACTCGGCAGGATTTGGAACGGTGTCACCGTGAATAAATAGCTTCGGACTGAGCTTCGAAATCAAACCGGGACACCGAATTTATGCGTATTAATACGTATATATTTGTATATACAACTCAATCGAACGAAATATCTCTGCAAGCACTGAATCCACATTGATTGGCCTGCACTCAGGCTTCACTATCAACAGTACTAGGTGTACTTTGGGTATTTCTCAATGTCACTATTGAGCATAAACGTATTGTACTGTTGTATTGTTGTTGTTGGTCACAGTAACGGTCACATGGCATTGTTAGCTATTGCTCAGGAATTATATCAGAATTGCTAAAGTCCCAAGATCTTTTTTTGGGACTATTTTAAAATTGGCCCACAACCAACTGCTCAAAAAAGTAACTTGAGAAAAACGGTCTGTCTGAGGGCCCATCACCTAAATTCTGAGTTCTTTCAGTTATGCAAATGATTCCGCTCTGGAAAATGCCGTAGCATCCGAACCACGTTGTATGAATATAGGGCGAAGTGTTACAAGATAAAGGAGAGCAGTAAAAATTCAAGTTGGTTTTAGATAGCTCTTTTCAGAGAGCCTGCACTGCTATCAGAATGACAGGCCTCTTCAGCAGCCTCATTGGGCAGTGTTCTGACAGAAACAATGCTGAAACCTGGATTCACCGCCTTCTTCTTCCGACGTACAGCCGTCTAAATTCACCTGTTCTGGTCGGTTGAAGGTACTGCCCTATGGGAAACGCTACGAAGATTTGCCGATCGTTGGAAGTGGCATCTACAGCAATTTACTCACACTTCAAAAAACGCAGGTGCTAGTGGTTCAAATGTTCCATGGGCAGTGGGAGCGGGTCATTTATGAAAGCGAAATCTACGTGATATGAGGACGGAGTATTACTTTCTCTGACTTCGCTGTCCTTCAGTTTGTTTGAATAAAATCATTCACATTCCTGAGTGAGGTAACCTAATAATATTGTATATGCATACATGCATAAGATGCAAATGCAACTCGCTGAGCTAATATTTCATGCCATTATTAGGTATCAAAGAGCACGCATTTCTCGTAAATCTTCCGAGGTTGCTGAGTCATATGCAGAAGGCTTATGTTAGGCGCAGCCAGGAATTGCAATTAAGGTCCTTTTACGACTTGTCTCTTTTTGATGGCTATAGATTTTCGCCACAGATCTCTATTTAGATGCTGTTGCAAGTCTGATAACTACTTTTTCCGGAATGCTCTCATGGTCAGCACAAAGTCGGAAGCAGTACAAGAAATGAGATGTGTGAGAATGGTTATATTAGGTCATCCCATTCAAAAGTGCCGTCGGTTCTATTTGAATAAAACAAAGAGGAGAATAGATCACCTGTATCACCTGCGCTCCCGGTGTGCTATGGTCCAGCGGTCGTCCTCGAAACACATAACGTGTCCGGCCCACCTGA